CTGCCCCCGAAGGGTACCTCCTGCATAGTAGCTCTCCCACTGTAGTCACAGCTGGTCCTCACAGCAAATTGGCCTGGAGGTCAAATCCTTCCAGTGATACCAATAGCAATCAAGTCTCAACTACAACAAGACTGTGCAAATAGCCCACAAAGGGGTGTACCTAGAGTTTTCAGCTCAGGAGACTGGGGAGGCTGAGCCACTAGGCCCTATAGGACATCTACTACACAAGGCTACTCAACTAACTCAAGGAGACATAGCAGCTCTACCCAATACATAGAAACAAACTCAGGGAAGCAGCCAAAATGCAGATACAAAGAAACATGTCACAAATGAAAGAAATGGAAGAAAGCAAACTACTGGATATAGAGTTCAATACCATGTTATAAGGTTACTCAAGAATCTTCTAAAAATCTCCAAGGGACTTAGTGAGATTTTCAAGGATCTTAGTGGGAATGCCAAACACATGGAAAAGGACCAGCAAGAATTTAAGCATACACTGACTGAAATAAAGAATAATATACAGGTATTCAACAGTAGACTAGAGGACTCAGAATTAAAATAACAATTTGAAATACGATGAAGCAAAATACACCTAACCAGAAGAGCAAAAAGAAATAAGAATTCAAAAATGTGAAGTTAGTGTAAGGATCCTCTGGGACAACTACAAGTGGACCCATATTCACATTATGGGGGTGCCAAAAGAAGAGAGAGCAAGATATTGAAAACCTATTTGAAGAAATAATGACAGAAAACTTCCCCTGCCTGGTGAAAGAAATAGACTTACAAGTCCATGAAGCACAGTGAATCCCAAACAAGAGAAACTCAAAAAGGACCACACAAAGACACATCATAATTAAAAAGCCAAGGGCTAAAGACAAAGAGAAAATCTTAAAAGCAGCCAGAGAAAAATAGTTCTCTCTATGGCCGAAGCCCTCTTGGTTGGGTTTATTTGCATATTCACCCCTGATTGGCTTGAAAGCATTGCTTGTGGGTGTAGCAGAGGTATGGTCAATTTGCATGTCACTCTTTTATTAGATAGGATATGTATATGCACACACACACACTTAGTGGCCAGATTATTATGTTCTGTGATCATAATAATCTTGCCACTCAGTGTATATACTCTGCAGAACCAAAAAGCCAAATAAGCCATATAGGGTGTTATTGATGAATATCATATAAAATATTCTGTGTCCTACCTCTAAGTGATTTCAGGTTTTAAAAATTTCTGGGAGAGCAAGTCTGGCATGGCTCAGTGATTGAGCATCAACCTATGAAACAGGAGGTCTCAATTCCATTCCCCATCGGGGAACATACTCCGGGTTGGAGGCTCAATCCCCAGAGTGGGACATGCAGGATGCAACTGGTCAATAATTCTGTCTCATCATTGATGTCTCTATATCTATCTCCCTCTCAGTTCCTCTCTAAAATCAATAAAAATATATATTAAAAATAAATTCCTGGAGATTGGTTTAAGAAAGTGTCAATGGATAGTTCAAGGAACAATTTTAAGATGATAATCAACTGATTAGTTTTTATTTGTTTTAAATTCATCCTCTTTGTAAAATCACATTTGTTTTGGAAACTGCAGCATGGGGGAACTTTTACATTATCAGAGTTAAGAATGTAACCAAAGGACTTGTATGCATGCATATAAGCCTAACCAATGGACACAGACAACAGGAGGGTGATGGCATGAGGAGGGGTGTGTGTGGGGGGGGCGTGGGGGGGGGATGGAGGAATATGGACACATGCAATACCTTCATCAACAAAGAAATTAAAAAAAAAGAATTCAATGGAGCCCCTTATAAAATCCTTATAGCAGTGATATCTTGTTCAAGGAGACAGTCATGATGTGACATTTGATGGGATGTGACATGCTACTATGTGTTGTGGTCTGTCTCCCCTGAAAAGAAACGTTTGTTTTATGTAGTTCTCTCCAAGTTCCTCCTGAAAATTTCAAACATCTCTGGGTTTATATGGTAAGATGTTCTTCCACAGTGAGAAATGTTTGGTGGCTTCTCTTGGTCATCAAAGATGAGTGGAATTAAAACAAAACAAAACAAAACAAAACAAAACAAACAAAAAAAACAAACCACTGTCTCTCTTGATCTGCACGAGTACCTACAAGGTGCTTTGGGAAGTTTTATTCTGTCCCAAGGCTTTTGGACCTGGGGATCCAGACTCAGGACCAGTGTCTGGGACTTGTAAAGAGGTTGGCAAGACACTTGGTTTTTGCCACAAGTTACCCACTCCTTTCTAGTTGACCCTGACATGGCTCCCTAAAAAGGCTGTACATGTACTAGACTAGAGGTCTGAAAAGATGTCTTCTCTTCATATTCCTAGTGATCAGCACATGCTTATCACAGCAGAGGCCCATGACAGACCTCATAAATAAATGAGTTTATTCACCCCCATGCTGACCATTCTAGGAGTTGCACACTGTGAGTATCATTAAGGATATCCACACCATGTTTATCACATCTCTGCAGTTCTGGGTCAAACATAAATTTAATATAAGAGCAATCTGGATATCAATAGCAGTTTCATTAGAATAGTGTAAACAGCTGGAAGCCCTTGAAATTAAAAAGATAATTATGTTTCCATAATTATTTTACACTGTGTAGGAGCGTAACATAACCAGGCACAAGTGCCATATTGGTGTCACAGCAACTTTGGAGAAAGTCAAAACAAATGGGAAGCTGAAATGATGATGACCTGAAGAGATCATTTAACAGTGACTGCAGTGACTCCTGCTGGGAAGTCGATGCCAAATTTCAGACAAATATGTGAACTCTTGTCAAGCTCCATATGTTTTCTTTCTCATAAGATTTTTTCTCTTAAAGTGATTTTACAAAAAGTTTTGCATCAAAGTAATAGTACAGAGAATCTTCAGATATCCTACACCCAGTTTCCCCTACTGTCAGCATCTTACATTAGTATGATCCATTTGTCATAATTAATTAATACATTCTTATTAACTAAATTCAATATTTTACCAGGTATCATTAGCTTTCCCCTAATATTCCTTTTTTATGTAATTGGATCCTATCCAATATCACATTATATTTGTCATCATTGTTTTCTTAGGTTACTCTCAACTCTGACAGTTTTTCAGAGTTTTCTTGATTTTAATGATCTTGACACTTATGAAGAGTACTGGTCAGGTATTTTGTAGGGTATCTCCCAATTTGGATTTGTTTATCTCATAATTAGACTGGGATTATAGGTTTAGGGGAAGAAGATCACTGAGGTGAAATGTTATTTTCAACACCACCTATCCAGAAAACATACCATCAACATCACTCATCACTGGTTATACTAACCTTGACCACCTGGCTGAGGAAGTGTTTGTCAGATTTCTTTTCTGTATAGCTATTTTTTTTACTCCCCGCCCCCCCCCCCCCCCCCATTTTCCTTAATATTCTCTTTGGAAGGAAGACACAAAGCACAGCCCACAGTTGAAGTTTCTTCATAAAATATCTGAGACATATTTCTCTTCTCCCCTGTTTACGTACTTATTTATTCAATCATTTAGCTACCTCAGTATGGATATTTATTTAATGCTTAGGGTTAAAATTCAATAGTATGGTATTAATTTTGTTGCTCAAATTGGTCCCAGTTTGGCCTTTGGAAACTTAGTCAGTTGGCTCTTGTCTCTCTTTGACACACTCCCATCATATTATTTTTTTCTGAACTTCTTTACTTTTGGTACAACATTATGCTCCAGATTCATTTTATATTTTTTCTGTCACAGCCCTAGAAATAGCCATGTTATTAAAAGATAAGATCTGAGTCTTGGGTATGTCCATTGCTACTGGGTGTCATTGCCATATATACAGGAGTGGGAAAAAGTGGGTTTACAGCTTGTGAGTATGTGAAACAGAATCAATGAAACTATTGTAATAATCATAACCTACATGTCTTTTTCCATAACTTCCCCTGTATATTCGCCCATTGAAGGACAGACATCTTGGTTGTTTCAGCTTTTGGTTATTATAAATAAAACTGTTATTAAAAAAATTGCATGCAGGTTTTTATGTGGACAGACATTTTTAAATCAATTGACTTTGGAACATAATTGCTGGGTCATATGTTAAGTCTATATTTAGTTTTTGTTTGGTTTTTTGTAAGAAACTGTTCTCCAAAGTGGCTCTAGCATCTTGCATTTCCAAATAAGGATCCCTGTTGCTTTGCATCTTCACCAGCAGTTGGAATTATTAGTTTTTAGAAGATTTTAACCATTCTAATCAATGTGTTGTGGATTTTTATTTGGGTTTATTTTTTACTCAAAGAGGTGAGTCTGAATCTCAAACAATGTACAACTAAATACATATTTTAGACACCAGCAAATTATTGCCTACAATTGATTTTTAAATAAAAAAAGTCAACATACACAGCACACTTGTGCCCACATTTCCTCCAACCACTGCCTCATCTCTGCTGCCATTTACAACTAAGCTCCTCTAAAGATGTATCTGTCCTCACTCCTCTTCCACATTCTCTTGGACCTAATCCAGTCCACTTGGGCCCCTTTTGTCATGTTCACCAACAACATGGCCAATCCAATGGTCACTTGTCAGTGACAGTTGCTCAAAGGTCTACTCATTCCCCTTCATGAAAGTAATGAAAGACTTTCTTTACTTGACTTTTGGATCTTAAACTCTATCTTGGTTTCTAGATACCTCAGTACCCTAGTCACCAGTGAATATTTAACTTGATACAGCCAATGATTATGCCAATTCTTTGAAAAGTTAAGTAAACAGTTTCTTAAAATTCCTGAGTCCTACTACTTTGGGGGCTCACAAGCCTTCTACTTAGTTAAAAATACCTCAATAGGTTTTTCAAAGATTTGCTTTGAAGACTAGATAACATAACCTTTCTATCAGCTCATCATTTTGACATCTATCAATCCTTATATGGTAGAGGAAGTTTTATCCAACATTTTGCCCTGCTTTTGTAAGAGACAAATGTCAGATAACTTGAATAATGTACACACACAAGATTGAAATACTTTAATAGTATTGCTATTCAAATTAAACAATTATTTTCATTTATTCAAATAATTGTTAAGTGTTCTAAGTGATTGCTGCAGATAACTTTTCACTATTGTTGTTTTGGTTATTATTCAATATTCAAAAGAAATGGTTAACTCCTGCAAAAGGGGTGCAGATATCCATAAAGTGATTTTCTGTAACAGATAAGAGAATAAATAAATTAGAAAATGTAAATCAATATAAAGAAACTTAGTTATAGTTGAAGATGTTAGAATTAATATATGATGCTGAAAAGATAATCAAATGTAATAAAATGTTAAGGGATAATTTAATTATTTACATGTAATATATAGTGTATATTTTATATGCAATATATCTAATATGTAATATATATTGGAGCAAATTACAGTTATCAAGTGCTTCATACACTCTAAGAATATAAGTTTATTAAATATTCCAATTAACTTATTTTACTCAAAAGAGATCTTTGTATTCTGCAGAACTTTATCAAGTTCTTCTGGGATATTTTTCTCCATTCAAGATCAGCCACACACATACATGAAACCAAAATTTGTGAAACTAATTCCCCAATAGAGTTGTTTCTAGTTTTTTGACCTATCAATCATTTTTCACTTATCAGGAAAGAGAAAGAGCACAGAGGGAAAAGGAAGGACAGCTCTAATTTCCTGTCTCTTCCTTACTAATTGCAACATCATTCTAAAACATTGTTTCTTCCTCTTTGAAGTCTGTATGATAATCTGGCCATGCAGATCTACCCAGGAGCATGTTGAGAATCAAACAAATTCATGTTGCTAAGAGTCTTCTGTAAATCATAAAACTTCAAATAAAGAATTACTGTTATGATTAACATATCAAACAACTTACTCAACAAAATTCCCCAGATTGAAATTCCATTCAATTAGGGGAAAATACATTTTTAATATATTATTATTTAAACTAGACGCCCAATGCATGAAATTTGTGCAAGGGGCTTGGCTTGGCTTGGCCTTCACTGTCACAGTGGCTGCCTCTATCTTGGCTCCCCACTGCTGCTGCAGCTTCTTCCAGAAGGTCATCCAGAAGATTGTCTGGCCTAATTAGCATAGTATGCTTTTATTATTATAGATTACCCTGTCATCAATTACTTTTTAATTTTACAGAAAGGAATGAAAAGTCAGTATCTGAAGCTCTGTGTTACTGCTCTGTGTAAGTATTAAAGACCATATGTTGCATTGTGTGATAAAGGTATTAGAAATACAATAAAGACTTCAGAGGCTCTGAAATCTATAGATCCCTCCTCCTGTTTAGGGCTTTGGTGTCTATTCTGCTTGCTATTAAGTTCTTCAGGGGTGAGGGTCATGTCTTATATTGGTAAGCATGTTTTTATAACAAATACAGATTTTAAAATTCTTAATAGGAGTCCAATAAATTAATGTTTCATTGCCAAATGGAACAGAAACAAAAGGAAAGAGCTGTGAAATGTCAGGAATTTCAAGGTCAAGACTTAGTTCTGTCAATTATTAAAGTACATGACCTTGAAAGTAACTTAATCTCTTTGGATGCTCAGTTTTGTTATCTGTTAAATTAAGGAATTGAAATATAGTCCATCCAGAACCTTCCACTTCCAATTTTTTATCTGCTTTTATTCTCATTTATTTTAGCCACCCATTTATCCTTTCTTTATGTTAAATTTAGCAAGGAACACCCAGCCTTACATAACATCGTTTGTGACATTTAACCCTACAAAGTTTCTAGACCTGACATGTGCATCCTTTTATCTGAAAATACAGCTCTATGCTAATTTTTCTTCCTTGAGTTTCAAAAACATGCAAGTTATTATTTTAGAAATGTTATCTGTGTCTTTGGCAAGGAAGTAACATTCAGGGAAAATTCAATTATTAGCCCTAGACATTTAATAAGGAAAATCTGCCATTTAAGTCAGTAGTGTTTAAACCTTACCCCATTGGAATTATACTTCATTCTGTTGCTTGGGATGATTTTTCCATTCATAAAAATAACATTTGGCCTTGAAGTGAGACCAAGGATCTGAATACTGCTATATGCCAGAGGAGTAATTCCATTGTAGCCATTTTTTATCACAGTTGCTTTCAGAGTTCTCTGTCGTTAAGAAAGAGAAGAAAGAATGTTAAACCATGATAAAACACAGAATTGTACAGCTCAAAGTGGTATGGAGAATTGCTGATACTTTTAAATACTTCTTACTTTTAAAATCAATTAGAATATACTTTCTTCATATAAATGAATTATTATGTTACAACAAATACTAAATGTTTACACTTACATTACTGTATTTGTATTCCACATAGGAGTACTCTCCCCTTTCAACAGAATCTGCAAAATAAGTATTAGTGTTAGGAAATAAAGGTCAATTTTATTTTCTACTATTTTTTTTAATTTAAATTCTGATTAATTAAACTCCTATGTCCACAGGTCTTGGCTAAACCTTATACTTGGAATCCTCTAAATTACCTAGCAATTGCTGAGGGGGGAAAAGTGAATAATCAAATTTACATTTCTATTGATGGCCTTTGGAAAATGCAAAATAGGTAACCTGAGGAAGTAAACCTCATCATCTTACCTTGCCTCCCACATTTCTCCTCATTTTCCATACTTACTTTATATAGAAAAATAAAGAGAAAAGAGCATTGTTTAAGATAAGTTTCAACACGTCCATTTAGTATGGAGGAATATGGCATAAAACTTTGTAGACAACCTCTTCCCACATTTCTCTTTACTGTCCACACACAAACTCACTATCACAGACAGAGGTATCTGTCTTTGTCCCTGCTTCTTTTTTGATTTGAATTCCTGTCCTCTAAAATTTAAAAACAGTCTTGCAAGTGTTAGTGATTTAATCAGTGCTTCCTGACATATTCACTGGGTGGAGGGAAGGGAGGAATGAAAATGGATACAAGAGACTGCTGATTGCCATGAAAATACAAGCATTGGCAGCCTCTGTACACTCTCAGTTCCTACCACAGAACCGGTCATATTGTCTACATGTAAAATTAGGAGTGTCTCTTTCTTTTCACCTTTATATTTCCCTTTTCACATTCTCTTTTTCTACCTTTTCATCTTCCTTATAAAAATGTTTGTCCTTCTGTGCTTATGAAAGAGAGGCTAGGAAATAAAGACGGATGTAAAGTCAACTAATACGATGACAGAAGAAATGTTCTCAGCAGTAACCTATATGCACAGGCATTATCATCTCTTTGGAATAGTGCCCATTTTCTTGAAAACTCATTTATATTTTCAAAATGTGGCTGCTTTGAGTATTTTTAGCACTATAGGTAGAGTACTTATCTTCTTAACAATATAAGTCATTTCTATTCTTCCAGGGAAAGTCTTTGCTATATTTGGCTTCTCTATGAGATTATGGAGATAATGGGGATAATAAGAGATAAATGAATAAACAAAACCATTGATATTGTGCCTTAGCCAGCTAAATCTTTTTTTTTTTTTCTTCTTCAAATTCTCATCAGAGGACCTGCTTAGAGAGGAGAAAGAAAGGAAGGGAGGGAAGAAGGAATAGAGAGAGAGAGAGTTAGAGAGAAGCATTGATGTAAGAAACATAGATTGGTTACCTTCTGTACGTGCCCTGACTGTAGATTGAACCTTCAACCCAATTATGTCCTCCGACTGGGAATGGAACCTGACCCTGACACCTGTCAGCCCACAGGATGACACGCAAGTAATTGAGCCACTCTATCTGGGCATCGCAGCTAAATCTTGACTTGTTTTCTCAGTTCAAGTTATACCCCTTCCTCTACTACACACAATTCTTCAAACTGTGGTCCATGTCTCCCACCATAGAATACGGTTCTTCCTTCCTCCAGCTCAGTGGTCAGCAAATTTGCGGCTCTCAAGCCACATGCGGCTCTTTGGCCCCTTGAGCATGGCTGTCGCACAAAATATCATGGCCTGGGCAAGTCTATTTTGAAGAAATGGTATTAGAAGAAGTTTAAAAAAAAATTGGCTCTCAAAAGAAATTTCAATTGTTGTATTGTTGATATTTGACTCTGTTGACTAATGAGTTTGCTGACCACTGCTCTAGCCTAACATCTATGCCACCAGAGCCAAGTTCCTACAAATTTCTATTCAAAGTTTGATTCCTTAAGATTAGAATCTCTATTCCTTCCTAGGTGAGAATAAATTAATGAGAAAAAAATCTATTTTAGCATACTAATAAGTAAATGTTGTCTTCTCTCAGGTAACCACAGTGTGATTTGTTATTACCTTCTTGGTGATAATGTATAAATACCATATATTGCACTTTCTTAAAGATAATGGTCTCTTCTCTGTGAATTAACAGAGGAGTAGCTAGATCTGAGGAAATTTTCAGGTTCCTGGATAGTAATGTGGGTAGAAGTAGAATCTTAGTATGGTGCCCATTATGTCAAACTTACTTTTTTGGACTAGATCTCCAATTTTTAATTTTAAGTGAAGTCATATTGAAATTCAGAACCTTCCAACTGTTGTACATGTTGGTCTACTTACCAATCGAGTCACCATCATCCCAAAAAAGGGAGCCAGATGCTTCTCCATGTTCATCTAGAGCAATTATCAGGCTAAAAGGATTCAACTGGCTGAAGAAAAAAGAAGAAAATTTGTATTTTCAAATTGAGAAGGACCTAACTCCTATCATCTCATGGAACCACCTAGAAAAATCTTGAGTCCTTTTTTAAACACCTTTACCAAGTTTCCACTTGGCTTATGTTTGACTATATCTAGTGATAAGAAATTTAAAATATCCTTAAATAACCTATTTCTGCTCTGAACTGCTCAGTCTGAGGGGAAATGAGTGATTTCAATAGCATAGGCCTCTTAAATGTGTCCCACTTAAAAAAAAAAAAAAAAGAAGCAAAGGCTTCTATAATTAATAAAGTAATAAAATAAGTTTTATGCTTATTGAAAATACTCCCTCACTCTCTGATTTATCTACAAAATCGCCAGTCTTTGGATCTGGAAAACTGGGAGCTAATTTTTAAAGTATGATCAAAGGGATTCCAGGAAAATGAAGTTTGAATAGCAATTCAAAGAGTCTACTGTGCTGGGTAACTCTCAAGAGCAAGGATGCCAGAATCCATGTGCCCTCTTTTTGTGACTCCACAATGGAGACAGGACTCAAGGATTTGATGCTAATTACTTGGTAACCCAAAATTGCATAGACAAAAGAATTGCACAGTCAATTGCATAGACAAAAGAATTGATACAACAATTTTACTTTTGGAGAAGTTGAGTTATAGTGAGAATTCCTTAAGGAAAATACTTTGGTTTGATATACAATATACTTATTTCATTAAATTGTTTCTATTAAAATGAAAAAGCATGAGTCCCTCTCTTCTTTCTTGCAAATGAACTAAAATATACTAACTTGAAATCAAATGAATTTACTTTGCAAGTTAGTGCTTAAAAACTGTAAATTTAGCATATAGTTCAAGGGATCCTCAGGGACTTTTTTATATTTCAAAGTGTCTAGCCAAAATTCCTCTCTAATAATAATGCATATTTTAAAATGATTTTATTTTCAGTTAATGCTGATTATAGATTTTGAACTGCTATTATGAATCTTTGGTGTAAAATGGAAATATAAAATAATAATTATTAAAAATTATGCTTATTTGCAAGGCAAATTATTTGATTATATATCCATGGAGGGAGAAAAGGATTAAACATAATTTCAATAGATAAAGGCATGAAAACCCTAACATAGCCTTCATATAAAACCTATGAATTCATGAATTAAAAATCACTGGCTATCTTTAAAATTACAATGGGAAGATATTTAGGACTAGCTAGCTTACAGGTGGATGAAATACCCAACCACATCACCTGCTAATGTTTCTCCTTTTTTCTTCTGTTCCTTCTCTTCTTTTTCTCTCTTTCTCTCATAGGCACACATGAACACACAGACTCATACATTCTCATGTACAAACACATACATGGACCAATATTAATTGCACTGCTGATTAAGCCACCTCCTGTCAGAGGTCTCATACTCATAGACAATCCCTCCTCAGACACCAGTAAGGAAGTTTGACTACACAGGAAGGTCAAACCCCCAGCTCAAGGTGAGGTCTCCTGACAGAATTTGCCTAATACCTCAGCACTGTTGTTCTGGCTGGAAATTGTATTGGCAGAATATATCCTCCACGAATGAAAAGGGGAATTACATCCAGAGGAGCAGGAATTTCAACAGACTTCTTCAGCCAAGAAGGTGGTACTTGCTCCCCCTAGCACAGAACAAGCCAGAGTTAACCACTCCAATGACATCACTGGTAACAAGTAATAGATTTCAGGAGGCACAGGAAGTTGAAATCCAAATTTCTGTTGAAATGCAACAAAACACCATGGAATTTACTATAAGGATGACTTAAGTGTCTATGTCAGTGTTTTTTAAAAAACTTACATAAACTCCAATGTGTAAAAACACATGAAAGCAGCATTCAATAGCATATACTAATTTCAGCAGTTCAACTTTATAACCATATTTACTTAACTAAAAAGTTAAATGGCAAGAATACAAGTTAACTTTGGGCTCCAAAGTGTTAAAATCTGATTAATAATGTTTTTGTGTGAGCATTTTTGTTGTACTTTTTTAAAAAAATCAATTTTATTAAGACATAAAATTTAATGCAAATATTTAAGGAAATGTAGGAAGCATCTCTACAGAATATTGTTTGAAAACCATTGGTTTAATTGTTTAAGATACAATAATAACCTGACCACAAGAATGAAGAATTAATAATACCACTTCCCCCAGTCACAACTAACTGGTAATTTGAAAATAGATTGTATGTCCTTTCTTCAAATGCGGAATTAGTCTTATCTTTATCATCTAAATATATTCCCATAAAAGTTCCTTGAAGACTGGGTGAAATTAGCTAATGCTCATCAAAACATACTAACAGAATCATAGAAGAGAACTCAGTTATAGAAGAGATGTCATATTGCTTCCCTCATGTTCCACTGTTCACCCCCATTATGGACAGCTTAGCCCCCACTGAGTGTAATTTATGTGAAAAATATTAGTTAGAGCAATGAAATTATTGTTCTTAAGAATTTGAACTATAAGACATGGAAAATAGCCTGCCACTTACATAGAAGCACAAAAGATGTAATGAAATATGCCCATTATAAAACAGAAGTCCAAAGTTTTACAAAATATAGCTCCAAAATATAGAGTCCTTTAGACACTGGGGATCTTTGGAAGCCAGTTGTTAATAAGACAAAAATGATACCATGGAATTCTGAGTCCTGATAATGGCACAACATGGGCTGAAATTTCACAAACTTGAAATTGAATCCTGAATTTCTCCAGGAAATCCAGTGCTGCTAGAGGTGCTGGTCTTAGATTTCTATAAATTTTTTTTGTCATTTCATATGTATTCCCATAATAAACCTCATACTTGAGCAAGCTTGAATGGGCTTCTGTTTCTTGCAAGATAAAGTATCAGATTAATAAATTATAGTATCTCCTACACTCTGCAAACAAGAAAATATCACTAGGTAGTCATTTGTTTTTAAGGATTTGAGTGTTTACATAAAATAAATGTCTACTCTACTTCTAAAAAACCCCACAACATTCTATCTCTCACCTTAAACATATGCCATTCTATTTATGGCTTAATTATACCATTTTGAGAGGAGCAAACAATTGTAAAACAAAAAAAGGGGAGGGGAAAAGAGGGGAGTTCATACAGAACCACAGCATCAGCATTATCCAGTCCAATGTTCTAGAAGTCATATAAAAAATGGTGAACTCCTGCCGGAGTGGCTCAGTGGATTGAATGTCATCCCATGGAGTAAGAAGTTCCAGGTTTGATTCTAGTCAGGGCACATGGCCAGGTTTCCAACTCGATCCCCAGTAGGAGGCATGCAGGAGGCAGCTGACCAATGTTTCTATCTCTCCCTCTCCCTTGCTCTCTGAAGTCAATAATATATTGTGTATATATATATATATATATATATATATATATATATATATATATATAGTGAAAAAAAACATGTAAATCTCTGAGATCATAGATTATTATTTTTTATATATAAAATACATACTGTGTAAAAGTCAAACCAGGATGCTTCAGGAAAATATACATAAACAGATCTTGCTCCCTGTGAAAAAAAAAAAGAAAACATTTGACTTTTCAATCCCCTTTTTAATTAAAGTATTCTAGTAAAACTACATTTTGTTTTCTTGATATTGAATCCTATCATGTTTATCATTAAAACCAAGTACTATTCAACTCAGACACGATTATGTAGTGGGGCTAGAGAATCTCCATGAAACATGATTGATTTATCAGAAAATATGTTTCATGTCTGGATTACGGCACATGAATGTATAATATTGATAATGTTTTCTAAAAAGCCTAATTGGGTTTGCTATATTTCAAAATATTGTTTCAGTATAATGTAAATATATTCTATTACTAACCAGGTAAGTACTTCGTGGCATTTTAGTTCAATGGCAATTGTGATGTACTTACTAAAAAATGTAAAATATGAAATATTTATCCATTTATTTTAAATAATCTTGAGTTCTTACTAAGTATAGATTTGTTCTTCTGTATGTTACATATATTATTATGCGTATGCTTCAGATTTATATACATATATGGATATGTGTATATATAAACAGATATAGCAGACCACATTATTATAATTGGCCTATATTATACTCCTATATGTTTGTGTGTGTGTGGTGTTTAGATAGAGCTGTGGTAAATTCAAGAACAATCCAAAAATACAGAAAATAGTTGCTTAGAAGAATCCCATAAAGGTCCAACTTCAGTTCTTATGTAATCATGACAAGTTCAAAAGCTAGTGAAACTCGGCACAATGAACAGTCAGCCTTGAGAATACTTTTTCTACCTCTGGAAATTCCAATACTCAGTCCTGAAAGTTGGCACTGATTTGTGGTCAACACGTCCTCAGGACAACCATCCTGCCTATTCTCCTGCATGTGTGGCTTTCGCCCCCAATTCTCTAAGATTACAGTCATGTTTTCCCTCCCTTTGTAACTAAAGTCTGGGAAAAGAGCCATCTGGAGGAGAAGGAAAAATGGATTTGAAGCAGCAATTTTTAAATTCCCCCCCCTCCCCCCAAAAAATGAATAAAGCAGCTGGAATTTTCAGAATAGACTTTACTGCTATTACATTAGCATAGGTCAGTGGTCAGCAAACCACGGGTTGAGAACCACATACGGCTCTTTGGCTCCTTGAGTGTGGCTCTTCCACAAAATACCACATGCGAGCACACATGTACAGTACAATTGAAACTTTGTGGCCCATGCGCAGAAGTCAGTTTTCGGCCTGGGCGAGTCTATTTTGAAGAAGTGGCATTAGAAGAAGTGGGGGTGTTGGTGGGTCGGGCAATGGGAGCCTCGGTTTGCCGACAACTGGCATAGGTGACCAAAGTACTTTATTTCTTTTCTTCTTATATTTGGGGGAGGGGGGGGTCGAAATCTTACTTCCGCAAATTATCTTGAGATCAATTTCAGAATCTCTAAATAGCAAAAGCATATATTTCAGTTTTGTTGAGATTTTTTTAATATGAGGTTTATTTTACGTTAGGTAGAATCTATAATAATAAAAGGGTAATATGCTAATTAGACCAGACAGCTGAAAGACCTTCCTGACATCATTCCGGACATCCTTTTGGACAAAGCTGCGGCAGAGGAGGCTGAGGCAGAGGCGGTTAGCAGCTATCAGGCAGGCAGGCAAAATGGTTAGGGGCTATCAGGCAGGCAGACAGAGTGGTTAAGGCTAATCAGGCAGGCAGGCAGGCAGGCAGGTGAATAGTTAGGAGCCAGTGGTCTCAGATTGTGAGAGGGATATCTGACTGCCAGTTTAGACCTGATCCTGCAGGGATCCCTGCAGGATCAGACCTAAACCAGCAGTTGGGCATCCCCCGAGGGGTCTTGGATTGTGAGAGGATAAAGTCTGGGCTGAGGGATGACCCCCCTCCTGTGCGTGAATTTTGTGCACCAGGCCTGTAGTAAATATGTAAATACATTGTTTTCAAATACAAGAATGAAAATGAAGTAAGAAAAACGGAAGAATATATAGCAAGCTTGGACTGGTTGTATCAAATGGCACCGAGGCAAACTATTGTGAATAACTATACTGTGCTGGTATAAAACTCTGGTCCTTACCTCTTCAAGTACTGGAGTAATCATTAAAGCAGGTCCCCAAAGGAATGCTCTGTCAATTCCATGAGTCTGAGGATCTGATGTAAATCTGGATTTTTTAGGTGAAAAAATATTAATTTAATCAAATTAATGTCTTTTCATAGGTAACTAAAGTATTATTCAACCACCTCACGCTCGCCAAAAAAACCAAAAAGATAAAAACAGGGAAAGGTTTAGGGTACAAACAGAATTTTAGGAATAGCATCTTATTTTCAAGTAAAGCAACTGAAATCACTTGTCCTCCCTGACTAGAAGGTAAATGGGCATTAAAACTAAGGTCAAAACTATACCAAGCAATCAAACTGTCTTCAGTTTTTGTTGTTCCTTTATGCATCCTAAACAACCATTAAGGATTCAGCATCAATCTCATCTCCTTCATGGAGCTGCCCATTCCATTTCAAATTGACCCTGCCTTTCTTTGAATTTTTATATGTTATGCCACATAATTGGGACATAAATATATAATGTTCTATATTATACTAAGTTACTTTCAAATCTGTTAATTACAACCTTCCCAGTTATCTGTGGGCAGTGACCACGTTTCATTCTTTTTATATATTCTGAACTTTTTAGACAGCAAGACACAACTTTTGTTTTTGCTATGTGATTGAAAGAGTCTTCTCAACTAAATTTTTTCAAATCTGTAAACTATTTCTAATCATAGTCAATGGAGAGGAAAACTGATTTGCATATTTATTTAATCCCCATGTAATTCCCTTAGTCGGAGAATCCAAGTTCCTAAGATCTACATTGTAAAAATCCTAACACTAGAACAATTATTAAATGTGATTTACTCATGCATCAGTCCTCGGACCACTGTATTTCCGCTGACATGAGAATGGTAGAAGAGGGTGTATAAGTAAGGCAGCAATGAGTATCTAATCCTTAATGCAGAACGGGAAATAGCAGCAAACTCTTCTCCAAATACCCCAGGGTCTTGCTCCTATAAAAGAGAAACATTTCAACAGACCTATTAACTGAAATGGGAAATTTTAAGTGTTACTTTTATTTTATTCTTTAGTGGTTAGGGAGAAAGAGAACATTTAAAAAATATTACTTATTTCAACTTGAAAGCCTTTCACAATAGTAGATTGCAGAGTTGTTTCTCAAATATATTACACTAGAGGCCCAACCCACAAAATTCATGCACTCAGGGGAAGGGAGGAGTTTCCTCAGCCCGGCCTGCACCCTCTTGCAGTCTGGGAGCCCTTGGGTGTTGTCCAACTGATGGCTTAGGCCTGCTTCTCAGGTGGAGTGGGCCTAAGCCATCAGTTGGACAATCTTAGCGCTGCCACGGAGGTGGGAGCCTGGCTTCTAGCTGAGCCACACTCCTCCTGTGGGAGTACATTGACCACCAGAGAGTAGCTCCTGGGTTGGGTATCTGCCCTCTGGTAGTCAGTGCGCATCATAGCGACTGGTCATGCCATTGTTTATCAATTTGCATATTAGTCTTTTATTATCTCTATAATAAAAAGCCAGGGTGTAACTACTGATCACGATCAAAGGCAGACCAACTGGAAGTCAGCACTGGGTTTCCACGGTGACACAGAGCTGACCACTGCAGCTGTAGGCCCAGTGACCTAGCAATGACTGCTAAGGGGGCTGTGAATCAGGCTCAGAAAGAGACCTAAAGAGATAAGTAGGGGCTAAACTGTAGCATCTGTGGTGGCAGCTTTTGACCAGCACTTGCCTCTCTCTTTCCCTCTGAGCCTGGTCAGCAGCCCTGCCTCCATTTCTCTTCCAGCCTCCACTGGGGATACTGATAAGCCCTGCCTTTCTGATCAGGCCCTGTTGATAAGCCCAATAGAACCTGGCCAATCAGAACCAAATCTGGGTCAACTGTGAGGAGCCAATAGCTGCCTAAAAGGTGGAGTTTTTGACCCTGACTGGCATAGAAACTGACCAATTAGAACCAAATTTGCCTGCAGAAGAGGGAAATTGAGGGTGAGATCAGGCCTGCAGGGGAGGGCAGTTGGAGGCTACCAGGCCAGCTGGGGAGGGCTTTTGGGGTCACCAGACCAGCAGAGGAAGACATTTGGGGACATTAGGCAGGCAGGCAGATGTGTGGTTAGGAACCAATGGTCCTGGATTGTGGGAGGGATGTTTGATTGCCGGTTGAGGCCCAATCCCACAGAGATAATTCCTAAACTGGCAGTTGGACATCCCATGAGGGGTCCCAGATTGGAGCCGGTGCAGGCCAGGCTGAGGGACACCCCCCCCCCCACACTGTGCACAAATTTCATGCACCAGGCCTCTACTCATACTATAATATCTGCCTGCCATCAAAGCAGAAACGTGAAATTTGGTAGATTCTGACCTACTAAAGCAAAATAACTAGACATATTACAGGTTTGTCTGCAGCTACCTTATGTTATGCAGGCAAGTTTTGTTTATTGATTATTTAAAAGGATGCAATGTGCTCCCTCTGTGAGAAAGTATCAACAATGCACTTTAGGTTCCTGCCAAGATGGTGCTGTAGACAAAGAAGTACTTGAATCCTCCCATAGCACCCCTGCTCCCCCAACACACACAAACACACACAAAATTACAACTACAGAACAACCATCATTCAGACTGCCTGAAATTTAGCAGAACAGAATTTGTACAACTAAAGATATAAAGAAGCAATATCAAGACTAGAGGAAGAATGGGGATTTAAAATGGGCTGGTCCCACACTCACTCGTAGTGGATAAAAACCAGGAGGGATATCTCAGCTCTAAAGGTCTCCCCACCAGGGAGCAAAGGGTCCGAGCCCTATGACAGGGTTCCAGCACTGGGAAGAGAAGTTTCCATAACTTCTGGCTATAAGAACCAGCAGGAATTGTGGCTGAGTGAGACAAAGTGCTGCTGGGGTCCCAGACAGTTCCTTTTAAGAGCCTGTGTGTCGACTTACTCAGATCCATCCTCTCTGAGTTCCAGTCTGGGGAAGCAAAACGAAAGGCACCAAGGGCATACAGGGAGGAACTGAATTGTCTGGCCACAGGGTAAGAGCTGGAGAGGCAAGCTTTCGCTCACACAGAAGTGCTGGCAGAGGTCATTGTTCCTTTGATGAGTCCTCCACCTACAGAGCCAGCAGGTGAGCACCTGAGTCTCTATCAATGTGGCTAATACTGTAGCCCTAACCTTATGATTCCATGATACCGCCTAACCCCCCACCTAATTTTCCAGCTCACCAAAGCTGTTTTCATTGGTTTCCCATATGAATGGCCTGTATTGGCCATGCTTCAGACTTTCCAAAAATTGCTCAAACAGGTAACATCTGGCCTCAGTGTTTCCCAATACCTCTAGCTAAGTGGCTCAAGGTCTACCACTAGGGGCAGCTAGCCTCAGTCCACAGCTTGGCCTCCTCTCCTGGGCACCTCCAAGCCCAGCACAGGTAGCAGCCATCTGCATATTGCTTTGTTGCTCATGCCAGGAGGCCCTGAACAGAACACAGGTGACAACTGACTTTGGCCTGCATCTTCCAGGAGGCCCCAGAGCCAGTGCACCCAGTGGACAGCTTCAGACCACATTGAAGTACCAACCAACCACCTCCACCAGCAACACACTCAAGGGGCAGACTCAGAGGGCACCAGAGCCCACTGAAGTCATTCCTGCCTGAGGGATCAGCCCCTGCACAGTTGACCCTTCACAGTGATTGCAGCCAGTCCTTGCACTTGAAGCTGACTGACCTGGGAGTAAATCTCTTCCATTGACATGACAACAGCAATCAAGGTTCAACAACAACAGAAGGATGTATACATAGCCCAAGGGTGGGGGGCACACTTAGAGTGCCAGCTCAGGTTATCTGGGAGGCTGCGTCACTGAACTCTACAGAACACTTTCTACGTAAGCTCACTCTACCAAGTTCAGGAGATGTAGCAGCTCTAACTAACAGATAGAAACCAAAACAAGGGAGCTGCCAAAATTAGGAGACAAAAAAAAAAATAAAAATCATGTCCCAAATGAAAGAACAGTATAAAACTCCAATAAAAGAACTAAACAAAATGGAGACAAGTAATCTACCAGTTGCAGAGTTCAAGACACTGATTATAAGGATCCTCAATAATCTCAGTGAGAACTCCAACAAAGAGAGGAGACACATAAAAAAGGAAACACATCAAAAGAGATTGGCAAGAAATATTCAAGGTGATGAAAAGCAAGTACCTAAAACAAAGATTACCCTACCAGCAAAGCTATTATTTGGAATTGAAAGACAGATAAAGACTTTCTCAGACAAGAAAAAGCTACAGGAGTTTCCACCACCAAACCAGTAATACCTGAAATGTTAGGACTCCTTTAAAATAGTAGGAAGGCCAGGGAGATGGGTGAAAATGTAAAGGGATTAAGAAGTGCAAATTGGTAGTTACAAAACAGTCACAGGGATGTAAAATACAATTTGGGAATATTGTCAATAATCCAGTAACAACTATGCATGGCTTCAGGTGAGTATTAGATTTCTCAGGATGATAATGTAGTGAGTTATATAATGTCTAGTCATTAAGTTGTACACCTGAAATTAATATAATATTGTATGTTAACTGCAATTGACAAATAAAAATTATTTAATGTAAAAAATGCATTTTTAAGGATAATTTTAGAGAAGCTATTTCTCCAACATTCATTTTTTAGTTATTCTCGCAGTTTTTATTTTTATTTTATTTTATTTATTTATTTTTTAAATATACAATATTTTATTGATTTTTTACAGAGAGGAGGAGAGAGGGATAGAGAGCTAGAAACGTCGATGAGAGAGAAACATCGACCAGCTGCCTCTTGCACAACCCCTACCGGGGATGTGCCCGCAACCAATGTACATGCCCTTAACCAGAATCGAACCTGGGACCTTTCAGTCTGCAGACTGACGCTCTACCACTGAGACAAACTGGTTCCGGCAATTCTAGCAGTTTTTTTTTTGTTTTGTTTTTTTTAATACAACTAATAACATCTAAATTTTAAAAAATCATATATTTTGACAACTTTGTTTAAAAAAGTTTGATTTAATTCTTATTTTTATGATTCTATATGTACTTTCAAACCACAGTTCTTAAATACAGGTTAATACTGAATACTGTACAGTAGCTACCATTTTACATTACTTCTCACTCACCTTATTTCCAATTGCATTATGGTTTCTGGAAAAGGGATAAAATGCCCCAAGTTGCATCCAACGAAGGCAAAGTTCATAGGTTGTCTCTTCATTAAACCCACAAATATCAGCTCCAATCTGGGGAGAGATTTTTATGACCTCAAAGTATATCACTTATTAATTTTGCCATAAAACCTGCACTGAAAATTTTAGGACATGTTATTTTTAATTTTTACTGTGGAATCTAAAGATGAAAAGATCTTCTTTGAGAAGAACATTTGGAGTAAAATAGTGATAATTCCTTCTTGACCACCTTGATTAAAAAATATTCTATGGACTATATGACAGTATAAGTGTTTTAGGTAATCAAATATGCATACAAATGATTTCCCCCAACCCCCCCAAGTGCAGTACTATAAATTCCCTGCCTCAATATGGAAGTTAGAGACATAAAACATTTAGCTAATCCAAATCCTTAGTGGCTAACCACTCAGGCTGGAACAAAAGCCTCAGGATTATAGACCTAATTATGCTTTCCCTTTTATCATATAAAGTTACAGATACTTTGCTTCCTTATATCTAAGAAAGGTGTCTCTCAGTCTCCAAATTGTTTTATTTCTGAACTCTTTTTTTCCCCCTCTCAGAAATATTATCTTTAACCCCCAAACTCAATTAATGCTGAAGTTTGTAGGCAAAAAATAGCACAAAGAAGTAAAGCATGGAGTCATAAAACCTGTCACTTGTAATAAAAATGTTAGTCCCCAAACTATGGGGTTGTGATCTACTCTACTAAAACTAAAATGTTCAGTGGAGGAAGACCAGGTCATGCTCCCTTCCTCTATGAAGCTGCTTATATTATAACTTTTGCTTCTGTCAGTTTCTAGTCCAGACAAAACTTGAAGTTGTATTTCACTTTCAATATTTATTTCACAATTCTTCTTTGAAAGTACCTAATCCATCACTTGAACAACAAATGCAATTCTCACGGAATTTGAGTACACAGCAATTTTACTTGAAGCTTTCCAAAATAAGACAAATATTGCCCTATCTTTTATTCTTGTAGAAAGTCACTTGGATATGGGAAATCTGCTGCAATAAAACTTTGAAATTTGTTATTGTAGCAGCCAATTCTTCCACAGCTAAGTTGTTTATCACTAGGGCTCAGATAAGAAAGTATTTTGCTATGTGTTTGGGACATTTTGCTGATTTAATTTCACTTTTTTTCCTGAGTGAGCTTTCTATTCCTCCTTCCAAATTGTCCATCCCTTCTTTGTTCACACATAACCTATAAAGCTCATCGTAAAAGGTTATAGAAGAATTGTGAATGGGTGAAGATAGAAGTGAATGACACAGGAAATAAACTTCTCTGGTTTTACCTTGACCAAGTGTCTTCCTGACACAAAACAAACAAAAACAATTAAGACATATGTGGTTCTCTTGAAATCTATATAGGTTGAGGGCAATGCTAAAGTGACATTATGAAGCGTATTATTTATGATGTCCTGAAACAACTTGAGTGCATTTTATCTTCATAGAAGCCCCCAAATAATATGGATTGACAGGCCTAAATTTAATTGAATGTTTAATTTGAAAACTTACATATGGAATCCCAAAGAGATTAAATTCTAGCATTCCAATGATTGACATATGCATATCTCTCCAACGTGAAAAGTTATCACCCAGCCAATGGCCAGTGTATTTCCCGCTCCCGACAAATGTCGAACGACTCAAAACAAATGCTCGCTTTCCAGTGGCATTCTGAGAGGCACTTGGGAAAACATAGAAACACTTTCTTTAGTACTGTTCTAAAATGATACCCCCCTCACCCCGCAAACAAACAAACAACAACAAAAAAAAACACACCCACAAAACCAACACATGATCTTAAGGTGCATGAACAAGTCCCTATTTCATGTAATTTAAATATTTGAGCAAAGGTATAAATCTGTGAGAACATAAAATGGTGGCAATGAAGAGAACAAAAAGAGAACTTGCCATATGTAAACCATTTTTACACATTTCATGAAACAGCTGTTAAAAAGCATTGCTAACCATCCAAACCAAATTTTCTCATACTAAATGTTTCTTATATGTTATACTACCAGGCAGGTAGTACAGGGTTTCTCAACCATGCTGTATATTAGAAATATCTGAGGACTTTAAAAGAAAAAAAGGGAAGGTATCATCACTGATCAACTAAATCAGACTATCTGGGAATGAGTCCTTGGCATCTACATTTTTTAAAATTCTGCGTTTTTTTTTTTTTTTTTAAATATGTGGCAATGGCTGCCTTTATACTACAGTTGAAAATGCCAGTAATTGTAGTTTGATACTGATTATATTTCCTTAGTGAAACCTTACATGTATTAATATATGGTATAAAAATAACATGTATAGATATTTAGTATCATTATTCTAAGTTTTTGTTTTGGTTGTTTCTTGTTTGAATTTAACTTGTATGTTTAACCATTTTGGGTTTTTTTTTTCTTTTTTTTCTTTAACATCAAAATCTGGTCTCCACTCTATTTCAGCTTCACTTCTAACCTTGATTGCCATTTATATTCTTTTGGCCACTTACCAGTATATCAAACCATCCTGTTACCTCACTGAAGTTCTGACAGGTGTTTCAATCCACATATGTACAATATACATAATAAAAACTGATTTGTTTACAAAATTGATACATCTCTTTTCATAATGGAAAAAAATTGCTAAAATCTAGTGAAATATAAAGCTCCTGGAAATCAGGGACATATTTCTGATAATCTTATTGGTCTATACCCTAGTGCCTAAAACAATGCCTGCCATATAGCAGGTGTTCCATAAATACTTCTTGAAAGCACTAAGAAAGAAATAATCATTTCTTTAATACTTCCTTGGAAGTTGAAATAGGTGAAAGTAACACCACCTTGATACACAAACTTCTTAGGATGCTAACTTACATTTAGCTATGCAAAGAAAATATCATTTAGCCTTGGCTAAGACAGATGAAATTCCTAAAATTAATTATCAGAAAAAGAGATAGAAATTTAAACAATGGTTGTCATTAAGAATGGTGACTCATTTCACAGACAACTTCATACTTTCAAATCTGTTTTTACAAGAGGGTATTAGGGTTGGAAGGATGGCTGTGGTTAATTATACTCTGTAGGGGTTGGAAAGATCCAAATATAAGATGAGTTACTTAGGCCAAGTCACATAGTTACTCCCTGTTTTCACTCGCTTCTAGAATAAGGACTGTGCCAGGCTCTCCCAGTATTTCCTTTCCTACATTGGAGTTAGAGATAAAATTATAGCCAATGGAGAAGTTAGAATTTATTAATATTTGGGCGCTGTTTAAGCACTTTAAAATCTAACCTACAAATAAGAAGCTAACTGAAATAGGTTTTGCAATCAAACAGATGTAGTTTAAACTTCGTCTAGCTCATCATTATAACATATAACTTTTGAGCATGGTACTTAACTACTATAAAATGGGCTAATGATGCTTAATTCTCAGAGTTGTTATATGTATAAATGAAAATAAGTTATATATGAAAGAACCTCTCAAAACCAGCTAGCACATAACAAGTGCTTACTAACGGCTCATTTCCTTCCTGTACTTTCTAAACTGTGCCCAGCAGTTACAGCCCCAGATCTGCTTCACCCAGGTTAGACAACTTGAATCGAAATTTTAGGCCATTATTTGTCTACCTAGAAATCCAGGACTGATCATTTTGTTTCTCAAGGGTAAAATAACGAGGAGGGGGGAGTTAAACTGTTAGATTAAATTGAATGATAGAGGCTGTAGTTATAATTTCAGTAAACATCTTTTATGCCTTCTCTAGATGAAGCTTGCTAATGCTTCCACTTAAAACTATTTTTATGCCTCTGGGAAGTAATTTTCATTGAGTTCCATTAAGTTCAGCGTTTGGAAGTGACATTCATTTTTTATCCCTGAGGTATGAAAAGTACTCAGAAATATAATTTTCAACACTGACGAGGGATACTTGTCTACATTTTCTACTCCTTATTTCTCTCTCTTCTCCACCTCCTCTTCCCCCTCCTCCTCCTCCTTCTTCATCTTCTTGCCTAAATTTCTTGATGGGGGAAACACAATTCACAATTTCTTAGGTAACCTAGGTATGAGTGATACGTTCTAAAATCTAAAGAACTGATTTCTTACCTTTTCAATAAAATAAGGGTGAAAAGGGTGAAGGGATTAAGCAAAGAAAACACACACACAATGCATAGACCCAGACAGTAGTATATTATCAGAGGGAAAGGGGAATGGAGGGAAATAGCAGAAGGGGAAGGTAGGACAAAATGGTAATGGAAGGAGACTTGACTTAGGTGGTGAACACAAAATATAATATATAGATGATGTATTAATATTATAGAATTATACATTTGAAGGCTATATAATTTCATTAACAAAGTAGTGGCACAGCTCATGAATTTGTACATGGGTGGGTTTCGGCCACCCATCCCTGATCAGGTGGGGGGGGGGGCAATTGGGGGCAGGGCTGGCCAGGAGGAGTTATTAGTGTCAAAGATCTTTTCAGGGTGTATACATATGGCTTTCAGATGAGTTGAAGCTTCAAGGCACTTTAGTGTCAAGGACACTTACAGATTCTGTTTCTCAGCCTCTCCCTAGACAGGTAGTGTGGTTTAGTTCCCTGCTGACAAACCCTCTAGAGAGGTTGTGGTGTAATTTGGCTGCCCTTTTTGGTAGTAAGCAGTGGAGAGAGAATGTAGGAAGATGGTGGTTGTGCTGGGCACTTCTCCTGGACACCTGACTGCATTGGGGTTGGGAGGTGATCAGGGGCAGGGAAGATGGTGGTTGTGCTGGGCACCTCTCCTGCACACCTGACTGATGGTCCAGACTGTGAGCAGTTTTCCTCCTGATCACTCGTCATTCAGTTCCTGTTCTATGAAGGCTGAAGAGCATTTACTTACTTAAAATCACTGAACATCACACTTCAGTGATGAGGGGGGAGAGTGATTGGGGGCAGGGCTGGCAGTGGGGAAGGGCTGCAGGCAGTTGGCTGGCTGGCCCAACCCCCGATCAGGCCAGTTGGCCACCATAGTGCATGTGCTAGCCACTGGTGATTCTGGTCATTTTGGTTGTTCCACCAGTTGGCTTATATATATATAGATGTCACCCCAAAGAAGTTCAATACCATTTTTAAAAAATAAATTAAATAAACCCCAAATAGTTGTATTGTATTATAAATCAACTATTGAGTGAGATACAAGATGCCTTAACGAGCCAATTAACTAGAAGTCATTTATTGTGCATGGCGCAGGGGGAGATATCTTTTTCCAAATCTCTGAGCCCCCCATACAGGAAGTCTTTCTGTGTTTATTCTCTTCGAGCCTCTTTGTTTGCAGATATTACAAAGGGCTCTGTGTGAGTTATTGTTACAGACGTTGTAACCTTGAATACAAAATGAGTTTGTACGTGGCATAATTATTATCCGTATTAGTCTATTACATTGGATGGCTAGCTTGCAAGGTCAGACAGTTAAGTTTATCTGTTTCTATTATTTGAACTAAAAACAAAGTCATTTTACAGAATAACACACTGTCTAAAGTGACAGAGTTTATAATGACAGAGTTTACAGAACTAAGGACTATCTAACAATAGCAGAGAATTCAAACAGCAGTTTTTAATACAAGATGGAGATTACTATGCTTCAGTTGCAAGCCACTTGTTTCTGTTTTTTATAATTATCCCTATTAAATATATATTCTGAATGTTGTCTATCAAGTTTACTGTATATGTATTAATTTTGTTTTCTGTCAAATTAAGACCTAAATATTTTCCAGAAGTAGGTAGGAGAGACTGTGGTTAAATAACCCTTATGTTCACTTCAGCTCTGCAATTTTCTATCATGCTTACCAGACAAATTTCATTAAGGTCCCTGAACACATGGCTCTGGGACAATGACTACATTCCAAACCTTAAAAATGAGATGTATTTGTATATGGCAAAAATAATCTGTTCTATTTTGATCCTGATACCTTAAAACCCAGTATTTCTGAGAGTTCGCTTTATAAATCAAACAAGCTGACTATATGAACCATATATATTTTGTCTATACTTAGAACAAATTGTGGAGGTACTCTAATGAACCTCTGTTGGAAGGAACACCTGTTGCAGACAGACAAGGGTGCAGTAAATGGAAACACAGTGTTCTATACCTGAACCCTTGAACCTAATTCTACTAATGCAGCCTATGAGAGTCTCCCTGTAGATATACACAGGGAAAGACAGAAATGGTGCAACACAGAGGGACACATAATCAGGTGGCACTGAAAGGATGCTTAGGACCTGGGATTATTAATTCCAGGAGAGAAGAGGATTGCCTGTCAAGCTTCCGATGTATCACACTTGGTGTCTTAAATTTATAGCAGCACAAATCCTGACTTATGCCTCTAGTGGTGGGGACTTTACCCATTAATATTTAACTAGGCTTAAAACGGCTCTATCCAGAGGTGACCAAATAGGATCACCTCTGGATAGTACCAGTGCACATTACCCCTAAAATCTTTGTGAAGTTTATTAACAATTACTTCCTACATTCTAAAATTATCCCCCAAATCTCTAACATTTATCTGAATCAAAATTTTAGCTTTAGTTGTCTTTGACAAGTTTTTATGCTTTTAATGAGATCATTTTGCTCTGCTTTTGTGCTACTGCAACAGGTTGTTAAACACACACACATATATATATATATATAATTAATGAGAACATTTAATAAAAATAATAAGTGAGCAAGATAAAGTCTTTAAAGAGGAAGATAACTTACTGGTCCTTGAATAAATTAAGAAACAATAACATGTAACACTGGCTTTAAACAAACATTTCCTATTTCTTAAAGGACATTTTAAAAACAATGTGCAAATACTAAAAACATTTCAAGGAGGTTTACAAACTACTCACTAGAAAGTAGGTATTGCTTGAGACCAGCCAAACAGAGAATGTGTATCATAATGATATCCAAGATAAGTCTTGGAATCGGGACATAATGTTTTCTCAGCCAACAAGCCACCTGTGATATCTAAAAATAAAATAAGAGAAATAGGCACTTTAACATAATTAAAATATCCTTCTTGTATTTTATTTGTTTGTTTCCATATTGATCACCCTCACTAGTGTATGAGTTTCCTGAAGACGTTAAGTATCTTTCAAGCAGTGACAACAGTGTTATACTAACATGACAATTTTTTACTTGTATCTTGAATTTATGAAACAGAGTTAGCTGTTAGTATCAAGACTAAGATGGATGTCTCTCAAAAATATAAAGTTTAATATTAAAAAATCAAACAACATAATTTATACATTAACATATTTCAAAAGAAGCATTCTATCATTTACAGATGCTTTTAATATATATATATATATATATATATTATTGAGTTTTTACAGAGAGGAAGGAAGAGGGATAGAAAGTTAGAAACATCGATGAGAGAGAAACATTGATCAGCTGCCTCCTACATACCCTTCACTGGGGATGTGCCCACAACCAAGGTACATGATCTTGACCAGAATCGAATCTGGAACCTTTCAGTCCCCAGGCTGATGCTCTATCCAAACCGGTTTCGGCTCCGGATGCTTTTAAGTGTTTGATAAAATTGAACTTTACTCTTGACAAAAACCTTTCAGTAAAATAGTAATCAAATAAACTTCCCTAACTTTGTTAAGTTTTTCTACAAAAATACCTATAGCCAAATTCATAATTGTGAAACATTTAAAACATGTCATTGAGATTGGGAAGAAGAAGGTGCCTACCATTACCAGTTCTTGTACTGGAATTCTTAGTGAAATAAAACAAAGAAAAATAAATCCAAAGTAAAAGGAATAGAATGGGAGAACCAATGCTATAATGTGAATGTCTACAGAGAAATAAAATCCAAAAGAATCAACAGGTAAACTTTGAGAATTAGTATTATAATATAGCACATTTTCTAGATTAAAAAAATCAATATAAGAAAATCAACCAATTACACTTTATAAATTAACAACAAATACAAAGTTGAATGACTAAAATTAGGCATTTAAAATAGTATAAAAATATAGAAAACCTAGAGAAATAAGATTAACCAAATAAATCTAAATCTTCCTAAAGACATAGAATTTGAAGATTGTGCATCAAGCATATAAAGAATTCTCACACAGCACAGTGTAAAAAGTAATTTTAAAAGACAAATAAAGGGGAAAAGTACCAAAGTTATTCTACTGGAAATTCAGTATTATAAAAATGTCAGTGTTTTCCAAATTGATTTATGGATTTAATGTCCAACAGCCAAAACATTCTTGAAGGAGGCCAAGGGATAAGTCTATTTTCCACATTACTTCCAGGTTCATTATAAAGCAATAGAAATTAATACAGTGTCAAATTGTTAAAGGGAAAGAAAAACCAACAGAACAGAAATAGCAGTCTAAAAGTAACACAAAGTATATATAGATACCTATCAAAAAAATAAATAAATAGGGCAGATCAATGGGAGGAGGAAAAAAATAGCCTTTTAATTAGTTCTAGGACAATTCTATCTCCACATGCATAAAAAAAAAATAAAAAAAAATTTAAAAAAAGGCCTTGGGCAGCATTCTCAATGGTGTTAGAGCATCAGCCTGGGCACAGAAAAGTTACAGGTTCAATTTCTGGTCAAGGACACATACCTGAATTGCAGGTTCAATTCCCAGCCCTTGTTGGGGTGTGTGTAGGAGGCAACCAGTAATGTGTCTCCCTTGAATCAATGTTTCTCTCTTTCTCTTTCCCTCTCCTCTTCCCTCCCTTCCACTCTCTCTAGAACTCAATGGAAAAAAATATCCTCAGGTAAGGATTAATAAAAGAAATAAAGTTAGACTGTTTTTTCATACTGCTCAAAATCAACTTCAAGTTGATTGTATATGTTTATGACCTCAAATTCAAAAGTATTTCTTAAAAACTGATAAAGAAATGGATTGATAAATTTGACAGTAGTATAGTTAGGAACTTTTGTTCAACAAAAGATCCAAAAAAGAGAATTATTATAAAAGATAAGCCAGAAATTAGTAGAGATATTTTTTACACATATTTTTCTTTCTTGGAGAAAGAAAGCTAATGGCTCACAAGAAAAATAGGAAAAAAACAAATAAACATTGAACAGGTCAGTAAAACCTGCAAATCCAATGAAGACAAAAAATGTTTAGTACCATTTATAAGCATTAAATACACAATGAACTGTCATTTCACACTTACCAGATTAACAAATAACAACAACAACAACAACAACAACAACATGGCTGAGCAATGGTTCTATTTTCTTATGAAGCTCTGGTCAATTCAGTAAAACACCATCTTATATTTACTTTCCTTCCACCTCTGCTTCATTTCACTTTTTTCCTTACTCATTTTGCCTGGGGATTCCTTCACTTCCTACTCTTCAAACCTCCCCACAAATAACTTCATCTTTCCAGATAAGTTTTGTCTTAAGTCAGGCTCTGTTTTCTAGGAGAAAATGGGATGAGACATTCTCTGCCACTTCTGAAGGTAATGGTATAAGAATGATTTCCCTTTCATTTTTTTTAAAGCTTTTTCCCCCTTTAAAAAATATATATTTTATTGATTTTTTACAGAGAGGAAGAGAGAGGGATAGAGAGTTAGAAACATCGATGAGAGAATCATGGATCAGCTGCTTCTTGCACCTCCATATCTCCCCCCCCCACCCCCACTGGGGATGTGCTCGCAACCAAGGCACAAGCTCTTGACCGGAATCGAACCTGGGACCCTTTAGTCCGTAGGCAGACACTCTATCCACTGAGCCAAACTGGTTTTGGCTCCCTTTCACTTTTCGATTGCTATGGCCAAAATTTTGTCTTTTTGCAATTCCCTCCTCCTCTCCCCCGCCCCCTGCCCCACTTCATTGATATCTGAAATTCTGGCCATGCCTTCCTTTGGCCATCATCACCTAGAAGTCTCTGATTGTATTTCACTTTATGTTCACACTATGGTCACCTTTGCTAGACTCTGAGCTTCTTAAAGACAACTATCTTTTGGGTTTGTATGTGCAGAACCTTGACAGATCGAATAGATGGTGGGTGTCTAGCATCTTGTACTGTGCATAACAGAGCAAAAGATTGTTCATGAAGAATATAAAGAATTCTCACACAGCACAACCAGAACATTCTCTCTCATTTCTACAAAAAATTGAAGAGGAAATCCGTTTAAAGTATAGAAAGTTTAGGTTAAATATGAGAAAGAAATTGCCAAACCAAATAATGACTTTCTTCCTGAATACTTTAAAAGCAGAAAAGACTACAACTATATAAGAAAACTTGAGCATTGTCATAGCTAAGTTGGGGGAAGACTAGGTACCACTAACATTCTCTATTTGCTGTAAGAGTTTTGGCCTCTGCACATATACAGAAGGGAATAAGTCTCACCCACTGATGGTAGAAATTCAGGCTTTCTGGAAAGGAGGTCTCAGGACAGGAAGGAACTCTTCCCTCCAAGTTAACTCAGTGTGAAACGAGTAAAAGTTCAGATTTTTAGAGATTTTTAGCTCTTGTTTCTAAAAGCTATTTGCAGAAAGTATTAGCCTTTTCTCTTCTGTTTTTCCATTTCTTTAAAAACAAACAAACATAGCTTTAGTGAGGTCTGATTGACATACACAAACCTACCCATATTTAATGTATACAATTTGCTGACTTTGACCATAGCATACAGTACATACACATCACCAAGGCTTGGCTTAAAATAAGTCTGCTCAGCCCCAGCTCGTTTGGCTCAATGGATAGAGCATTGGCCTGAAGACTGAAGAGTCCCAGGTTTGATTCTGGTCAAGGGCACATGCCTGGGTTGCAGGCTCGATCCCCAGTGGGGATTGTGCATTGATTCTCTCCCATCATTGATGTTTCTCTCTCCCTCTCCTTTCCTCTCTAAAATCAATAAAAATATATTTTTAAAAAATACAAGTCTGCTCAGAAATGGGCCTTTGGACAGCGGCTTTAATGGGGTTTCTTAGTAGGGATCCATTCTGTGACTTTGCTTACCCTTATTTTTCTTAATTAATACTTTGATTATTAATATTACCAATAATAAAATTACTAATATGCATATTAATAATAAATAGTACTAGTGATTGTTATTACTTCACATGAAATAAAGGTATTTCCTTTTTTACATGTTCTCCTTGTACAATTTGGACCTTTTAAGTCTAGTCTCAACCTTCCTTATTAGGACTCATGTTTATTTGTTTAGCTTAAAATTATGGAGTCTAACTTCAAGGCATTTATTGCAACTTAGTGTGAAGCTGCTGTGCATATCTAGCTAAAAAAGAAGATCAGCTTTGGAATGACAGGCATCTATAATAGCAAGTGGAGTAGCTTTTATGACTTTTTAAATGCATTTTTTTCAACATAGCAACAAGGATGGAAAGAGTCTAATACACAAGAAAATCTAATTCTAACCCACATTCTGCAGACTTGAAATGTTTGCCTGTCTTTTAGGTCTTTAAAATTGAGATTTTAATGTCATTTCAAAGCTGTCTTTGTGCTATATTAAAGACAAGTAAGATCTTAAATACTGAAAGGATTTGGTCTCCCTGGAGGTGTATGTGTTGGGGGGGTGAGGGGAGAGGTGAGACAATCATGTCCATTTAGAGCATTTTTGTGTGTGACTATTTTATTGATTTTGTACAGAGAGGAAGGGAGAGAGACAGAGAGCCAGAAACATCGATGAGAGAGAGTCATCGATCAGCTGCCTCCTGCACACCCCCCACCGGGGATATGCCCGCAACCAAGGTACATGCCCTTGACCAGAATCGAACCCGGGACCCTTCAGTCCCCAAGCCGATGCTCTATCCATTAAGCCAAACCGGTCTTGGCTATTTAGAGCATTTTTGTTTCTACTATAAACTTTTCTCCCAACCTGTTATTATTTTGAAAAGAATGTGTTTTTAAAGAGATGTAGAGCCTCTTGACATTTAATTTCTGAATGTATGCATTTGAGAATAAGTCTAATAGAACTTGTAATGATTTTTCAAAATGTAAAATAAACTGAGGCACTTTTCCTTGGCCATCAGTCATGGCTTAAATTTAGCTACATACATAACTCAGCTCAAGTTAAAGCTACTTGTAGAGAATGTAAAATAGGTGCAGGAATCTAGATATTGTGTAATATTAATAATTTTCTCACCTCCTATAGATGAAGGCAGCAGCCTCATTATATTATTTAACTCCCAAGAGAACATTTTAAGCACTAACTATATCATAATAAAGCCAGCCTGTTTGGCCACAAAGAAAAAAATGCAACAAATGTAGATAATTATCTGCTGGAATGCAGTGATAATTATGAATTTCTGTACTTTAACTGGAATATAACTCCTAATTATCTCAACGTCTAGATTTATACAATCAGAAACGGTTACCAATCAAAGAGACTACACAAAGTGGTAAAACCTTAGATCAGTGATTTTTTAATCTTTCTCATCTCATGGCACACATAAAACGAATTACTAAAATTCTGCGGCACAGCAAAAAATATATGTTTTTGCTGACCTGACAATTTTGATTCATTCATATCAGATGGCTCCAGTTGTGTTGGCTGATGTCATTTTTTAAAAATTTAACAATGTATTTAGTGCCCTTCACTAAATAGTCAGGTATTGCATGTTTTAAAAATCCTTGGAACAAACTGCTTGCAAATCACTATCTTAGATTATTGAATTGTAAAAGAGAAGGAAAAAAGGAAATTTAATACTGGTTAAAAATAGCACAGGAGATAAGAATATTCATCAGATGCCACATCAGACTTTAGTCTTTAGCTCAGTATCTTGGTAACACTTGTCCTGACTATAAGCAGATTCCTTCAATGCTTTTTCACAATGATCTATTTCAGAAAGAATGCGTCTGAGAGCTTAACTGGCCTTGTTTCTATCTTTCATATTCCAAGTTGGTATTAATAGTCATTTTTTCCTCTGATTAATACTCTTTTCTTTTTTATGTTCCAAATAGTGATAGATCTGTTTTTTTAAATAATATTATACAGTAAGTAAGCATTATGTGAAAGAATGACCCCAGTCAGGGTGAAAATGAGGACTATCTTAGCTAATTCTGGCTTCATACCCTGAAGCAATAATGATGGGAAATTACTATAATAATCACTCTTTTTTATTAATTACTTATTTTTAGTATTTGGCAAAGTACTCGGAATTCAATTTAAATCCTCCCAAATTGTTTGTAATTGATACAATAGTGGCTATTTTTTTTGTACACATGTTGTATGCTACCCACCTGCTTTATATAGAATGTTTTAAATTCTTAACTTGCAAATTTTGAATTCATATCCCCATTTTATAGCTAAGAAAGAGATTGACTAGGTTTGGGAGCATTGTGACATCTGTTGTGTTGTTGCTGGTTCTCCAATGGGCTGCCTTCGGGGTGTGTGTGTGTGTGTGTGTGTGTGTGTGTGTGTGTGTGTGTTTGTGTGTGTGTTTGTGTGTGTGTTTGTGTGTGTGTGTGTGTGGGGGGGTGCTTTTATACCACTAGTCAGGGTGAGGCACAGGTGTCTTGTTCCTGAAATTACTGTGTGTGATTCCATTCACTACCCAACCCTTTCATTATCTCTATTCCTCATCCTTTGCTTCAAGAATCTAAATGAGCCCTAATTGGTTTGGCTCAGTGAATAGAATGTTGGTCTGTGGACTAAAGGGTCCCAGGTTCAATTCCGGTCAAGGGCAAGTACCTTAGTTGCGGGCACTTCCCCAGTAGGGAGTGTGCATGTTTCTCTCTTGTTGATGTTTCTAACTCTCTATCCCTCTCCTTTCCTCTCTATAAAAAAATCAATAAAATATATTTTTAAAAAAGAATTTAAATGAGTCTTCAATGCTGCCTGAGAATCCCACCAAGCTTCTGCCATGAATTTACTTTGTCACCATCAGATCTTCTTCACCATCAAGGGGACGGACCTTCTATCTCTTAAAAGCCCCTACTCCCCCAATTCAGCCTCATTTTCCTTGTCTCTTGCACTGATGAACAAATCTTTAAAATAGAAGCTTTTCTAGTGGGAAGATCTGCAGAGTCCCATCAGCTAGCCCACACATCCATGTGCATCTGTGTGCTGGTTCTTCTTTCAGCAACAATGCAGTGTGCCTGCTCTTTCACCGCTCCATCCCTTCCCAATGAATGCTAGCCTAGGCTCTCTTCTCAGCATTTCAATCCTTGAATTATCTCTTCTTTCTTTTGCATTAGCCACTTTGTCCAGTCTACTGGCTCATTCCTGACAGCACACAAACACACTCTAGTGTCTCTCATTTTGTAAAAAACAAAGATAGTCAAACAACATCTCCTTCTACACACATTCTTCTCAATAACAGCCCCATTTGTCTGCTGTCTGCTCCTTTCAGAGCCAACCCTGCCAAAGGTTTGTTTACACCTCTGCCTCTACTTCCTCATCTCCCTTTCACTCAGAATTTAGTTTGCAATCTATTCCTACTACTCCACCGAAACGAATATTGTCAGTATTGCCACATTCTACGTTGCTGAGCGCTGGACACGTTCTGAACTCTTTTTGTGTAATTTCTTGACACCATCTCACGTGTCACCTGTTTTGACTGTTTCTTAATCTCCTCATTTGGGACACAAGAAGGGATTCTTTCCTGCCTTTCTTCATCCCTTTCCAATTGTTTGCATTTGGTTTTCTCAGCTGCATTTCTTTTTTCTTTTAAAAAAAATATATTTTATTGATTTTTTTACAGAGAGGAAGGGAGAGGAGAAAGATAGAGAGCTAGAAACATCGATGAGAGAGAGACATCGACCAGCTGCCTCCTGCACACCTGACACCAGGGATGTGCCAGCAACCAACGTACATGCCCCTGACTGGAATCGAACCTGGGACCTTACAGTCCACAGACCGACACTCTATCCACTGAGCCAAACTGATTTCGGCAGTCTCAGCTGAATTTCTATTTCCATCCAAAGCATAACTGTTTCAGTATGGGTCTACTCGAGACTCAAGGCTGGAGGGCCCATTTGTCAAGTTCACATTTTACATTCTGACATTCTCAATACATTGACTCATCAATCCCTGTAAGTTTAAACATCATTTTTATGCATATATTTCCCAGTTTTTTTTTTAATCTCAAACCCAGATTGCCTCTCTCTAGATTAATACATCTTGCTGCCTACTTGATATTTTCATTTAGCTATTTCACTGAATAATGGAAGAAGGGACCAACTCACAGACACCGTTTCTTCAGCCTTGAGAGTAACATGTGGGGGAGGCCAGTATCTCGTGGATTCAAGGGATGTGAGTGGGATGTCAGCTTTTGCTTTTCCCTTTTGTTCTGGTTTCACTGGGAACTGAATCACTGTACTTGCACATGGCTGTAATTTTAAAGAAACTCTAAACAAAGTGCCATAATCCCTCAAACTAGAAGTCTGCAGTCAAGGATAAACCTCTAATTTTAGTGCAAAACTCTACTCAAATCTTCACAGCTTTCCTATGGCATTCTATTTTCAATTGTATGCAATTAATTATAGAAATAGCAAAAACTGTGGAATTTATAAGTTGCAAACATTTTGCAGCCAAAGGGAAGAACTCACTCATCCAAGAATCAGATGTGACACATTAATAAATCTAGCTCCCTGACTCTTATAAAGATAGTCAAGGAAGGAAGTCTTTTGATCCTTCTTAGATAAATGAGGACACAACTCACAAACATTCCAAAGCATTACCATTGAAGAAATGCAGTACATACACATCCATGGTTTACATTTACTGGATTATTCCTAGATTGGTGAGCTATAAAAGGAAATGTACTTTCCTAAAACAAACTGATGGCATTCAAGAGACTTTTCCTCATGGAATATAAGTGTTTCAAACTCATTTGACACATTCAATGTACTTACCAGGCACATATGGTGGGTAGTTTAGATGATTCTTTTCACATCCTGGATGTTGGCCATTTTGAAAATTGGATGGTTCATTCATATCCTCACATAAAAATAGAAACTCAATGAGTAATAATGGGCAAAGTTTTCTTACTTTCCATTAGGGAAGCAGGGCACATAGAAAGCATTTTTTCCTTCAACAGACACATTTTGAGGATCTAAATGTGTGAGATGGCAAGCTGAGAGCTCTAGGATGCATAGCAACAAACAAGATAGTGTCCTTGGTCTCAAAGAGTATATACTGGCTATTAGCAAGTTTCACAAATATATAAATGTCACAGAACTGAATAGGTACAACCATTTCTGTTCTGTGAAAGGTAATTCCAATCTCCAATGGCTGTAGACACAAATTGTGCTTTTTTTTCTTTCTTGTAGCTCATATCTAATCTGTCAATCAATCCTGTCAGTTCTATCTTCAAAATGTATATATAATCTGATACCTCATTCACTGCATTGCCAGGCTATACTACCATTGTCTCATGCCAGGATTGTTGGAATAGCATCTTAACTGGTCTCTCTTTTCCACGTGGGCCCAGAGGTAGATTTATTTGGAAGCTAAGAAAGTTAAGTTCCATAGTCCCTTAAGTTTCATGACCACTCCATAAATTTACAGCTATAACTCTACTTGTAACTTTTAATATTTTTTCTTATAAAGAGCTGCCAAAATTTTATCAAGCTCCATAAAATCTGGATTCATCTCTGTTTTCACACTGCTTTCTGCCTTCCTATAGTCTATTCTCAGTGCAGCACTAGAATGATCCTTTGAAAACCTGGGCTCAAAATCCTTCAGCACTTTTCCTTCTCACTCAGAGTAAAACCTGAAGATCTTACAGTTGGTCCATGATGCAGTTTGTGGTACTGCCTCAACATTTCTCTGACCTTGTACTCTCTGACTGTCCCCCTGATTACTCCTCTCTAGCCACACAGCTCCTTGCTATTTCTGGAAAATACCAAGCATATTCTGCTCAGTGCTTTTGTACATGTTGCTCCCTTGCCTCAATGCTCTTCCCTTAGGGCTCAGCCTCTGGTCTTTATTATCAGCTGTAACCTTCCCTAACCACTCTATTTAAACTCCAAACATTTTTAAGTTCCTAAATTTCCTACCCCTGTGCTATGGTCTGAATGTTTATGCCCCCCACTTCCAAATTCACATGTTGAAATCCAAACACCCAAAGGTGATGGTACTAAAAGGAGGGGCTTGTGGGAGGTGAGTAGGTCATGAGAGCGAAGGATTCCCTAAATGGGATCAGTGCTTTTTATAAAAGAAAACCCAAAGAACTCCCTAGTTTTCCCTCACCATCTGAAGATACAATAAGCTACCTGGAAGAGAGCCCTTACCCAACCATGCTGGCACCCTGATGTTAGACTTTCTGCCTCCAGAACTGTGAGAAATGAATTTCTTTTGTTTGTACGTTAATCAGTCTGAGTGGACTAAATAGTCTGAATCAACTAAAACACCCACTTCCCAGATTAATTTTTTCTCTGTAATAATTACTATTATCCAATATACTACGTATTTTATTTATTTATCTTGTTTCTTGTGTATATCTTCCACTAAAATGTCGGCTTCCTGAAGGTCAGAATTTTTCTAAGTGTATTTTTACTGCCTCTTGGCATAGAGTAAGTATTCAATAAATTGGTGTTTCTGGAAGTAAGGGAGAGGAAGAATTACTTCAAGTCAGAGTAACAGTGTAACGATGAAGAGTTCATGGAGAATTAGATATGGAGGCTGCATGTTGACCAGTTCATAGGCTTTGAACATGTAGAAAGGGAGAGAAAGAAGAGGAGAGCATGAGCACAGGCAAAGAAACAACAAATAGTATTGTATGTAGAGAAAATGCCCCTCGTTGAGTAGTGGGGTTGTCTAGCTCTCATTCAGTCTTCCAATCACATGATTCTGTTTGCAAGTGACTCTCTGGCAGAGTGGGGCCTATTATACATGCAACTTGTGATTGTCCAATAGTATTAGAGCAACACCAGCCTATGGTCTTTCTCCTTTGCACTCTAGCACAGGCTGTTCCTATTACCTGAAACACTTCTACTCACACCCACACCCTGCTCCACTTAACCAATCTCCATTCATTGGCCAGTCTTCATCTTAACCATCACCTTTAATAGTTAAGTCTGAACTGGCCAGCCTTGAGTTCAATTGACCTGAGTTTAATGCTCTTCATCTCTGTATCCACTGTATCATCTGCTTGCTCTGTCAGGGCCACACAAATGCTTGTTTCTCAGCCTATCTCCCCAGTTGTTGCCTCCTCAGTGCCCTGCACTGAGTAGGTATAAACAGTAATGAATGAATAAAGAGTAAGATGAAGATCACTATAGCAAACAAGATGCTGCCACTATTACAGGCAGGGCTTCTCCCCAGTGGTGCATTAAAACAGTTAAGGCACAAGTTATCAAGAAGCAGGAGATGGGAAGTTTTCACTTCAACTTATTATAAAGTGAATAAAAGAGAAGCAGGTGAACATTTAACTTTTCCACCGGGGGGGTGGGGGGGACTTAATAATAAATTTAGACTTACAATCCAGATCCCATCGTAATCAAGAACATTTTTAAATTCCATGCACATCTGTGTCCACCATTCTGCTGTTTTGGGGTTGGTGTAGTCTGGATAGACTGAATCTCCTGGAGGCCAGGCCTACAACGGACAAGTAAGTCAAACTAAACAGTGATAATGCACCTAACATGGTGCAGAAATAGCTATCGTGGGGACTTAGGTTGCATTTTGAGTCATATAAATAAAATGTGAGAATCAGTGAAATTATGTAACTTAACAAAGTACATAGTAAAAGTACATAGCAAGTTTGTAGTAGACTGGGAATAGAAACCCATATCCCTAACCAGTGTTCTTCAGATGTGAAATTGTACATGAAATCATATTTTATTGTTCTTTTATATTTTAGCCATTTATCTCCACACATAAATCTATATGAATACAAGCATAGGAGTTAAAAAATGTAAAAGTTACATTTATAATAACAATAAAAACTTATGTCTATGGTGTCAACAAGAGCAATAATAATTTAATGAAAAGTACAGAATGCCAAGGCGGTATTCAAAATTAGACATATCAATGAGAGATATAGAATGTTTATGGATGCAAAGATTAAATGATGTACAGATGTCAAGTCACTTCAAAGTCAAATGTAAATTTTTAGGGGAAATAATTAAATTTAAGAATGCATATGACCCTTTCTGGGTAGCTCAGCATCATTCCAATGTGTCAAAGTTGCAGGTTTGATCCCTGTTCAGAGCACATACAAGAATCAACCAATGAATACATAAATAACAACAAATCATCAATCAATGTTTCTCTTTGTCTTTCTCTCTCCCCTCTCAAATCAAGAAATAAAAGTTTTTTAAAGGCATATATGGATATGAGACAAGAATATGAAACATATGTATATATTAATAAGTTTACTGCAGCATTGTTTGTAATATTAAGATATGAGAAACAAGAAAATATACATCATTCAGAATTGGTTATAAACTAATTTTCTCCCATGAGAACTATGGAATTTCACATTATTTCAAAAGATAAGGTAATTTCATATGTATTAATATGGAAAATACTGTATATATAATATTGTTATAGTTTTTAAAAAGTTTTAAATGTTATATACTATTATTTCCCATGTAAAACTATGGCTACATGATACTGAAATGATAAGATGTATACACTGTAATGATAAGATGTATATTTTGAAAAAAGAATAACTGTCACTTTATACTTTTTATGTTAGTATTATATTTTTTACAATATTGTACTGCTTTGATCCTCAGCAAAAGCATTAAAGTATTTCTATTATGTAAAAGAAAACACTGAGAAATTTTCTTTTTTAATATATTTTATTGATTTTTGTACAGAGAGGAAGGGAGAGAGATAGAGAGTTAGAAACATCAATGAGAGAGAGTCATGGATCAGCTGCCTCTTGCACACCCCCTACTGGGGATATGCCCGCAACCAAGGTACATATCCTTGACCAGAATTGAACCCAGGGCCCTTCAGTCCCCAAGCTGACGCTCTATCCATTGAGCCAAACTGGTCCCGGCTGAGAAATTTTCTTATATTTAAGAAATATCTATGTGTCATTCCTCAATTTACATAAACTTAATTTTCCTATGTAATCTCAATCAATATAATTTTTCCATACTTATTAAATTGTAGTTTTTCAGAATGTTACAGTGTATATTAGTGGATCCTTCTAATTTATCACCAATTCTATGGGACTTAAGGAATTTCTTAAAAATCCACAGTATCCAGGCCAATGCTCCAAACAGTCAGCTTGAGAAGCTGTACATAATTTTTCTGAACTAAACTCAGGTGATACCAGTTCACTGATGCCTTATGAATTGTGATTTTTGAAATAAAAACTCAGTATAGAAGGCGGTATTCATCTATTCTTCAAGGTGCCTACCTTGCCAACCGCTGGTGTGATTCCATCAGAATTATTGACCCAAACTCCCAATTCCTGTCCAAGTTCATAGGGCCTGTAAGTACCTTGTGGCTCATCTTTTGTCAAAAAGGGATCCTGCAAATTCCCAAGGACATTGTAATTGGTAATAGTCTGATAATTGATATTTAAGTATAAAATTTCCAAAAGTTTTTAAAACATGAGTATCTATATATTATTCACATGCACAATATAATTTAAACTGCATACATTAAAATGTTACCAGCTACTAAGTATGGTTACAAATATAAGAACTGTATGTTTTCATTCATTTTTAATACTGCAAAATATGAAGCTAAGCAATGTTAATTTAATAATATAATCAGTTGCTTCTAACAAAAATCTCTAGTTTTCTTTATTGAAAATGTTATGTAAGTAGATAAATACAACTCATGCTACTTTTTTTGGTTGGTCACTTTTTATAAGAGATAAGGCTATGAAAGTATAAAACAAATAAAAATTCCTGAATGGAGAAATCAAGAAATTGGGATTCTAGAAAAAGCCTGGTTAATCCAGTTAATTTTAAGGGGCAACAAGTTTCTCTTCCACAAAATGAAGCAGTATAGTTGGCAAATTCTTAAAGTCACTGTCCCTCTTAAAAGGGCAAGCCTTATAATGCCTCAAGAAGAAAAATATATATGATTCTATATTCAGTTTTTTCCCCAAAAATATTTATTGAGCTTATTCCAAGTCTATTTTTCTTACTAAACATTTTACTATCATAATTATTTCTATTAAAATATTTTTTCATACACTCCTGCTAATTAATGTCAGTCGGATAATAAATACATGTACTTTTATTTATAAAAAGCCATCTTAAACACACACACACACACACACACACACACACACAGCTCTTTCCATAAAATTCTAACACCATTAAGTCATATAGGAATTATAACATATAGTGACATTTTTATCATTACATTAAGATAACAGATAGAACAATTATTTTATAAGAAGTGTTAATGAGACAAACACCTCATTATGAATGAACTTTTAATAGTATGCATGCTCCTAGAAGTAGTTATGATGACTTTTCTTTTTATATTCTAAATGTAGTAAGTAAAAAATAATGTTGTACCCAACATGAAGAAAATATTCCTGCAACCTAAGTTCAATACACTTATTCAATAACTATATAATCCTTTGTTTAGAATTTTTATGAGCAAGTCTTCAACTCTTGACAAATTATGTGACCCGTAAAAAGCCTTATTTTTCCTTCTATGTATAAGTTCATTTTTTTGAAGGAAGAGCACTGTAATTTTAAAAATTGTGACTAAATTCCTTCATGACTTGTTATTGACATTTTTTGTATCACTGAATAATAGAAACCTTGCTTATAATTTATTATCCTTTAATAAAATGTAACATTTATTATTTTATATTAAATAAAATTTTAGTGCTGGAATAATTTAATGCTGGACATTCTTTTTGCTAAATTAATTGTAGTATATGCTCTTAGAAATTGTTAGAAAATATGAATTTAAATATTGTATGTTTGATCTTCAAAGAAATTTACCAAAATAATGACATAATGCATTCCATCATTTTTCAGTTTCTTAATGTACTCGGGCAGACCAGCAAAGTTAGCTTTATCATAGGTGAAGTCCAACTGCCGTTCCATGTAGTCAATATCCCCATACTGCACATCCTGTACAAAAGAGCAGTGTAGAAATAGCCCTCGAACATTAGAAAAACAAACATTGTCAGAGCTCATAAGTAGCTATTGAGTGACTGTATATAATTGGAAATTTAAATATTGATGTTTATTGATATTTATTTATCATCCTGTAAGAAAAGAGGATAACCTGATTATTTTATAAGAAACTGAGAAAAAGCAGTAATCCTTAACCCCCCGCATTTAAAAGCCCCCTGTGTTTTAGTTACCTGCAGTCAAATACAGTGTAAAAATATTAAATGGAAAACTCCAGGAATAAACAATGTGTAACTTTTAAATTCATGCCTTTCTGAGTAGCATAATGAAATATCTCACCATCATGCTCTTTCCTGCTTGGGATGTGAATCATCTCTGTCTAGCATACCCATGCTGTATACATCCCCGCCTGTTAGTTACTTAGTAGTCAGGTAAGTTATCATATTTATTGTCTTAGTTTTATAATGCTTGTGTTGCAGTAACCCTTATTTTACTTAATAATGGCCCCAAAAGAGTACTGATGCTGCCAACTTGGATATGCCACAGAGAAGCCATATAGTGCTTCCTTTGCATGAAAAGGTATGTATGTGTAGGGAAAAACACACATAATATACATAGAGTTTGGTACTATCTGCAGCTTCAGGCATCCACTGGGGATCTCAGACTATGTTCCCTGTGAATAAGGACAGACTACTGTAACACGCAAATATATATTGTTATGTAGGTTACAGGTTAATCACTACACCTGATTTCTTTGTTCCAATCAATTCCCCCATAGTGTTTGGGGTACACTTACATGAGGAATATCATACTGTCTTAAACGTTCAACCGTTTTTTCCAGCACGTCTATGCTATTATAGCCCCATCGACTTAGCTGAAATCCCAGAGACCAGTATGGGGGCATAAAGGGACGTCCAATAGCCTGTAAAGAGAAAAGTATCAAATGCAATAAGTGAGATAAATGTTCACAAGCATGGGTCTTCAGGACTTGATACTAAACTCCTCACATTGTGATGGGCATCTAACATTGTAAGTTGTCCCTGGTCACAACCAAAGAAATAATGAGGAAAATCTGGAATTTCAAGAACTCTTTTGAGAATTTAATTAAAGGCATGGAATTTCCTCCCAAAGCATATACCTATAAAAGCAATTATTTAAATTTTGTGAGTGAGGGAGTATGTTTCCCAGACTCCTCTCTCAGACCCCACTTAGTCCATTCCACCAGGAAGTAATGTAATAGAACTTTAAAGGCTCCCAATAAAAAAAAATTTTGAGTTCACTTCTCAGTTCTGCCTTTAAGATATATTGATATTAGTAAAATTACATGTTTGAAATCCTGTAAAGAGTAGTATCCATTTCATTCATTTACAAGTATTTACTAAGAATACACCATGCACTATTTTGGAGCTTGAATTCTAGCAGAAGAGAATCAGCAATAAACATGTAAACTAAGTAGCATAATTATTATTATAGAAATAGAGAATGCGGGGCTGGGGTGGGAGAATGTTAGGGAAAGCTCTGGCAGTAAGACTTGAATAAGTCAGCCATGCAGAATGCACCAGGCAGTAGGACCAGCGGGTGCATATGCCTGGAGCAAACAGGAAGAGAATGATGGCCAGTGAGGATGAATTATAGTGAACAAAAGGGAAAGTGAAATACAAGAGAAGTAGGCAGATATTCAATCATAAAGGTCCATAACAAATAGCTGGAAACTTTTTACTTGTCTTTTCCCCCCCAACTTTATATTATGAAAATTATCAAGTGTATGTAAGAGATGATAGTATACTAAACCTCCATGTAACAAGAACTAACAATTATCATTTTGCCACACATCTTTATATCTCTACCATGGTGGAGGGTGGGGAGGGAGAGGATGAGGCTTTATAGAATTTTTAAAAAATCCTGAAATCATTATAATTTAGATTATCACTAAAAATAAATATAATCTCTTACATAACCAAAATATTACCACATCTAACAAAATTTACCACAATCCCTTAATATCATCAACTGTTTATCCAAATTGCATTTTTTTTTTTTAGTGAAAAAAGGTCTTATTTACAGTTAATTTGTTTGAAAGTTGAGAGTTAAAGTCTAATTTTAATGGAAGCCATTAAAGTGAATAATGTACTCTAATTTACTTTTTTTTTTTTAATCACTCTGACAACTCAGTTAAATAAATTACAGGGGAGCAATGGTGGTCACCATGAAACTAAGTAGGAGGCTGGTACATGGTCCAGGCAGAGATGAGAGGCAAACAAAGGAGGTCACCTGTGATAATGAAAGAGTCAGACTAGAATACAAGTTGGAGACATTGCTAACAGAACTTTCTAATGGATTTAATGTGGTAGAATGTAGAAAAGAAAGGAATTGAGGGTGGCATTTCATTTGAGGGTTGAAGGACAGGGACAATCAATTCCATTCATTGAGATGGGAGAGACTGCATGAGCAGCTGTGTTGGGGGGAGAGCACCAGGCATGAGAAATATCTACAATATGTATGCCTTGGGGTTAGCCAATAACAAATTGAAACCAGGAAATATGATAAGAGAGAGTTCAGAGATCAAAGGAGAGCCTCCAATTAACCTCTGGGAGACTCAACATTTAAAGACATCAGCAAAGGAGACTGAAGATGAGCCATTGGTGGTGGAGCAGAACAGCCAAAACAGCCAAATCAAGTTTCAGAAAAGAGAATGTTCCTAGAAGTTTCTAGAACAGTGATTCTCAACCTTTCTAATGCCCTACCCTTTAATACAGTTCCTCATGTTGTGGTGACTTCCAACCATAAAATTATTTTCGTTGCTACTTCATAACTGTAATTTTGCTACTGTTATGAATCATAATGTAAATATCTGTGTTTTCCGATGGTCTTAGGCTCTACCGCTAGCAGGGTCGCCTAAGACCATCGGAAAACACAGATATTTACATTACGATTCATAATAGTAATAAAATTACAGTTATGAAGTAGCAACGAAGATAATCTTATGGTTGGTGGTCACCACAACATGAGGAACTGTATTAAAGGTTGAGAACCACTGTTCTAGAAGATACCATGTGACATAGATGAGAACAGAGACTTGGCGACTTATCTTGACTTTGATAAGACCTTTATAGATTATAAAGGATTATAGCCCAACTGGAATGTGATGGAAAATTGGGAGGTGAGGAAGTAGAGACAACCCACACAGGCACTTTCAAAAAGTTGTACACAGGTGAAGGAACAAAGAGATGGAGGGCAATGTGGGTCTTCAGTAGAAAATTCTTGTTGAGTTTTGTTTTGCCTTTAATGCAGGTTTGTTGATGGGAAGCACTTGGCAGAGAGGGCTAAATGGGTAGAGAGGAGCTTCTGTAACTGTCAGTGCAGGTCGATGGTGAGCACAGGAAGAACTGTTGCGCCTAGAAATGAGCAGGGGCCACCTTCACAAGAAGAAAGGCAAAAGTATATGGGCCTGTTTGCGGGGAAATTGGTTGGCTCTGTACTTGAGAAACAATGTACTTCCTTTTTAATTGCTTCTATTTTTCTCTGTAAAACAATAAGACACACCGACAGCTGAAAGTTGGGTGAGGTGGTGTTCGGGTTTTAGAAGAGAAAGTGTGAAATAACAGTCTCTGTGAGTGGAATTGCAAATAGACTAGGCGAGGACATTTAGCAGGATTGCTAGACAGAGAAGTGCAACAGGAGATTAAATTCAAGGGATTCTTGTTAGCACAAACACGTGATTGTTAGCCAGAAGCTTTCAGTTGATCAGGACCAGGTACTGGTTTCATTAATAAATTAGCACACAAAGTTCCTCTTTGCCTTGTACAGCAAGTTGGTGTCAAAAGTGGTTCCAGTCTGCAGTTTCAGAGTTTTCTTCCTGTGAAGCCCTTTGAGTGGGTACTGTGCCGCATCTTTCCCTCTGACCCTATTATAATGTCAAACACAGAATGTGAATTTTATAATAGTTTATTCCTGATATGAATGAATGAAGAGTCGATAATATCATCCATGTTTTACAGAGGGGGACACTGAGTCAAAAGGAGATTCTGTGATGTTTATGATTTGACACCATACAAAAGACTAAAACCAGAACTGATTAGACCCATGATGCTCAGATCTGACTGAGCATTTCATGTGGGGAGCTTTTATTTTGTTTTTGTTTTTTAATGTATTTTGTTGATTTTTTACAGAGAGGAAGAGAGAAGGATAGAGAGTTAGAAACATTGATGAGAGAGAATCATCAATCAGCTGCCTCTTGCACACCCCCTCTTGGGGATGTGCTTGCAACCAAGGTACATGCCCTTGACTGGAATCGAACCCGGGACCTTTCAGTCCGCAGGCCGACGCTCTATCCACTGAGCCAAATCGGTTTCGGCATGTGGGGAGCTTTTCAAGATAGGTGCTCTATCCAGAGCCCACCATTGACTAATTTGATCAGAATAATTAAATGAGAATTTCCAAAGGTGGACCCCAGACATCTGTATTTTAAAGGACATCTGTATGATTGATGCAGAGGGAGGTTTAAGAATTACTGTTAGAGTGTGAGCAACTGGGGAGCAGGTACAAGGTCTATCCTTTGTGACTCCATTTCCAGACACAGAATTTGTCTCATTTGTTGCCACCAAAGACCTTATCAGCTAGAACTCCTAGTCCTTAGCCAAGTGGATTAATATATATATAATTTAGTTTTATTGATTTTAGAGGAAGGGAGATAGAGAGATAGAAACATCAATGATGAAAATAATTGATGGGCTGCCTCCTACACGACCTCTAGTGGGGTCGAATCCACAATCCAGGCATGTGCCCTGAACAGGAATCAAACTGTGACCTCCTAGTCCATAGGTTGATGCTCAACCACTGAGCCACACTGGCCAGAGCCAAGTGATTCTTATACAACCACATTTAATGTTACTCTCTGCTGCTACACTTGAAATCCATTTTCTTTCATCTTCACCTTGTAATAAGTAGAGAATGTTTTATTTCCACCTTCACAATAGCACAGCAAACACCTACACTAAAATATAGTGAAGAAACTAGAGGATGAGGAGGCAGCCAGGATACAAGGGTTAAGAACAAGATATGCTTTAAGGACTACAAACCAGAGCCATGGGCAGCATGGAGTTCCGACTGGTGCCGAGCCTCAAATAAACATAAAAAAAGCAAAAACACACTGAGCAGTAGGAAGCAGCACAGAGCATCTAAGTAAATAAGGAAATATGTTTAGTATTGTTCTGCAGGTTCTGAAATATATCTATACCAGCTTCCCCATGCCATAAGTTCCAATGTATGTCAAGAAACATTCCTCATATTAATAGAAGAGCAAAGAGTAGGCACTCTTTTAGCATTCTCTAGGCATCTAGGACCTGGAATTTGAAAAATATCACTATAAGTAACATATAATTATTACAAATTACATTATATATTAGAATATAATACACATAGATGCCATTAAATAAAAAGCATTGTCTATTAACTATAATTAATAAATGCTGACCTAACTAATAACACTAGGCCTTAAAATAAATTCAAATATTCACTTCAAGGCATATGCCAGTTCCTCAGTTCTACTTCTTTACCTATTCGTTTAGTACTAGAGATTAATTATTATTATTCTGCTCATAGGGCATCTACTGCCACTTCTGTCTCTTCGTGGTGGCAGTGTATACCTGTGTGAGATTTTATTATATACCAGCAATACTGCAAGGTAAACAGAACAAATGTTATCATCCCCCTTTTATCCTGGAGGAATCTGTAATCCAAGATCATAAATAATTAGTACCAGGTTAAAGAAATAACAGGGGGCAAACTGTAGCTCAAACTTTGATCTTCCGGTTCCTAGTCTAATAACTTCCACTGCCTCTTAAATATCATTGAAGTCATCCCACATTTTCAAGTGCTTCTTGAGGCTGCCTGATGAGAGTTGCTGAGAAGATAAGGGATAAA